CCCAAAAACAAAAGAAGCGCTCCGACCGAATCAATTTTTATCTTCATCCGATAGGCCGAAGTGAATTCATTGGCGGTTCAATGGAGTTTCAATGCGTTAGGCCGAGTTTAGAATCCGTAGGCCGAGTTTGTCATCAAGAAGCAGTGTTAGACTTTTGACAATATCTCAACGATTAGTTTCTGCGCTAGATTAAGAAAGTCTAAGTGCGGGTTGTGCTTGATAGGCCAGAAATGGGGTAGTTAACCCTAGTCCTGATGAAGTTCAGGGAACTCCTGCCAAAGTTTAGGAAAGGCCTGCCGAACCTCAGGAAAGTCCTGACGAGGTTCAGAAAAATTTTGCCGAATTTCAGGGAAATCCTGCCAAGGTTCAGGGAAGTCCTGCCAAGGTTCAGGGAAGTCCTTCCGAAGTTCATATAAGGCCTGCCGAACCTCATAGAAGTCCTGCCATTTCAATTCTTCGAATTAACGAAAGTCCTACTCAAGTTCAGGAAAGTCCTGCTGAAGTTCAGGGAAGGCCTGCCGAACTTGAAGCAAGTCCTGCTGAAGTTCAGGAAAGTCCTGCTGAAGTTCAGGGAAGTTTTACCGAACTTCAGGGAAGTGCTGCGAATGTTCAAGAATAGCCTGCCAAACTTCAGGGAAATCCTCCATTTTCAATTCTTCGAAATCAGGAAAGTCCTGCTGAAGTTCAGAAAAGTCGTTCCGAACTTCAAAGAATGCCTACCGAAGTTCAGGAGGGTTCTGCCATTTCAATTCTTGGAAATCAGGGCCGTAGTCTGGGAAGTCCTGCCGAACTTCAGGGAAGTCCTACCGATTTTCAGGGAAGTTCTGCCGTAGTTCAGGGAAGCCCTGCCGAAGATCAGGGAAGTCCTGCCAAAGTTCAGGAAAGTTTTGCCGAACTTCAGGAAAATCCTACCAATGTTCAGGGAAGGCCTGCCGAACCTCAGGGAAGTCCTGGCGAGGTTCAGGAAAGTCATGCCGAAAGTTCTGCTGACTTTCAGAAAAGTCCTGCCAAGGTTCAGGGAAGTCCTACCGAAGTTCAGGAAAGTCCTTCCGAAGTTCAGCGAAGGCCTGCCGAAGTTTAGGCAAGTCCTGCCATTTCAACTCTTCGAAATTAGGAAAGTCCTGCTGAAGTTCAGGGAACTCCTGCCGAAGTTCAGCGAAGGCCTGCTGAAGTTCAGGAAAGTCCTGCAATTTCAATTCTCCGAAATCAGGAAAGTCCTGCTGAAGTTCAGGAAAGTCCTGCCGAACTTCAGGGAAGGCCTGCCGAAGTTCAGGAGAGTTCTGCCACTTCAATTCTTGGAAATCAGGGAAGTCGGCCGAACTTCAGGGTAGTCCAACCGATTTTCAGCGAAGTCCTGCCGTAGTTCAGGGAAGGCCTGCCGAAGTTCAGGGAAGTATTTTTGAAGTTCAGGGAAGTTTTTCCGAACTTCAGGGAAGTCCTACCAATGTTCAGGCAAGGCCTGTCGAACCTGCGGGAAATCCTGACGAGGTTCAGGAAAGCCCTGAGGAGGTTCAGGAAAGTTCTACCGAAAGTTCTGCTGAATTTCAGAGAAGTCCAGCCAAGGTTCAGGGAAGTCCTACCGAAGTTCAGGAAAGTCCTTCCGAAGTTCAGCGAAGGCCTGTCGAAGTTAAGGCAACTCCTGCCATTTCAATTCTTCGAAATTAGGAAAGTCCTGCTGAAGCTCTGGGAACTCCTGCCGAAGTTCAGGGAAGGCCTGCCGAAGTTCAGGGAAGTCATGCAATTTCAATTCTTCGAAATCAGAAAAGTCCTTCTGAAGTTCAGGAAAGTCCTGCCGAACTTCAGGGAAGGCCTTCCGAAGTTCAGGAGAGTTCTGCCATTTCAATTCTTGGAAATCAGGGAAGTCGGCCGAAGTTCAGGATAGTCCTGTCGAAATTCAGGGAAGTATTGTTGAAGTTCAGGGAAGTTTTGCCGATTTTCATGGAAGTCCTACCAATGTTCAGGCAAGGCCTGCCGAACCTGCGGGAAATCCTGACGAGGTTCACGAAAGCCCTAACGAGGTTCAGGAAAGTCATGCCGAAAGTTCTGCTGAATTTCAGAGAAGTCCAGCCAAGGTTCAGGGAAGTCCTACCGAAGTTCAGGAAAGTCCTTCCGAAGTTCAGCGAAGGCCTGCCGAAGTTTAGGCAAGTCCTGCCATTTACATTCTTCGAAATTAGGAAAGTCCTGCTGAATTTCAAGAAACTCCTGCCGAAGTTCAGGGAAGGCCTGCTGAAGTTCAGGAAAGTTCTGCAATTTCAATTCTTCGAAATCAGGAAAGTCCTGCTGAAGTTCAGGAAAGTCCAGGCGCACTTTAGGGAAGGCCTGCCAAAGTTCAGGAGAGTTCTGCTATTTCAATTCTTGGAAATCAGGGAAGTCGGCCGAACTTCAGGGTAGTCCTGCCGAACTTCAGGGAAGGCCTGCCGAAGTTCAGGAGAGTTCTGCTATTTCAATTCTTGGAAATCAGGGAAGTCGGCCGAACTTCAGCGAAGTCCTGCCGTAGTTCAGGGAAGGCCTGCCGAAGTTCAGGGAAGTCCTGCCGAAGTTCAGGGAAGTATTTTTGAAGCTCAGTGAAGTTTTGCCGAACTTCAGGGAAGTCCTACCAATGTTCAGGCAAGGCCTGTCGAACCTGCGGGAAATCCTGACGAGGTTCAGGAAAGCCCTGAGGAGGTTCAGGAAAGTTCTACCGAAAGTTCTGCTGAATTTCAGAGAAGTCCAGCCAAGGTTCAGGGAAGTCCTACCGAAGTTCAGGAAAGTCCTTCCGAAGTTCAGCGAAGGCCTGTCGAAGTTTAGGCAACTCCTGCCATTTCAATTCTTCGAAATTAGGAAAGTCCTGCTGAAGTTCTGGGAACTCCTGCCGAAGTTCAGGGAAGGCCTGCCGAAGTTCAGGGAAGGCCTGCAGAAGTTCAGGGAAGTCATGCAATTTCAATTCTTCGAAATCAGAAAAGTCCTGCTGAAGTTCAGGAAAGTCCTGCCGAACTTCAGGGAAGGCCTGCCGAAGTTCAGGAGTGTTCTGCCATTTCAATTGTTGGAAATCAGGGAAGTCCTGCCGAACTTCAGGGTAGTCCAACCGATTTTCAGCGAAGTCCTGCCGTAGTTCAGGGAAGGCCGGCCGAAGTTCAGGGAAGTCCTGCCGAAGTTCAGGGAAGTATTTTTGAAGTTCAGTGAAGTTTTGCCGAACTTCAGGGAAGTCCTACCAATGTTCAGGCAAGGCCTGTCGAACCTACGGGAAATCCTGACGAGGTTCAGGAAAGTTCTACCGAAAGTTCTTCTGAATTTCAGAGAAGTCCAGCCAAGGTTCAGGGAAGTCCTACCGAAGTTCAGGAAAGTCCTTCCGAAGTTCAACGAAGGCCTGCCGAAGTTTAGGCAAGTCCTGCCATTTCAACTCTTCGAAATCAGAAAAGTCCTGCTGAACTTCAGGAAAGTCCTGCCGAACTTCAGGGAAGGCCTGCCGAAGTTCAGGAGAGTTCTGCGATTTCAATTCGTGGAAATCAGGGAAGTCCTGCCGAACTTCAGGAAAGTCCTACCGATTTTCAGGCAAGTCCTACCGTAGTTCAGGGAAGGCCTGCCGAAGTTCAGGGAAATCCTGCTGAAGTTCAGGGAACTCCTGTCGAAGTTCAAGAAACTCCTGCCGAAGTTCAGAGAAGTTCTGCCAAAGTTCACTCATTTTCAACTTTTATTCAATTTTCATACTGCCGTACTCTACCGGCACTATCAACCTACTCTCTTCAGACCTTTCTCTAGCTAATAAATTATCACACTAAAACTTCATGTTAGATAGGATTTCCAACCAACTGTGATTTTTGCAATCATGAACTAATTACAGTAGTAATAGGCAGGCATGGAAAATCATTTGCATTCATTTCGTACATTCATTGGCATTCATTTGTCTCTAACTTTTTTCATCAACAGAATTCCGTAAAATTATGCATGAAGCTTTTGTAGGTTGTATAATTAACTACAACTTTTGTTAATAACTTAAATCTGTATCTCTTATGCATGATGAACTAGAGCGGGCAGAACATGTTCTTGTTTTTCGGTGAATGTAATTTACATTCACTCAAAAATAATGATGGGTACAGTTTGCTCTGGTTCATCATGCATAAGAGATACAGGTTTGAATCGTTGACAAAAGTTGTAGCTAATTATAAAACCTATAAAAGCTTCATACATTACTTTACGGAATTCTGTTGATGGTAAAAGTTAGAGACAAATGAATGTAAATGAATGCATGAAATGAACGTAAATGATTTTCCATCCCTGGTAATAGGAATAATTTCTCGTTATTCTCGTAATTTCGGAAATTTTCCCAATTGTGCTGTATGCAGGCTCGATGTAGCCCCAATGCTGGTTGGAAAAAGCATGATTCATCATACAGCCATTCGGACATTATTCAAATGCATTTTCAGAACTGAACTGCCTATAATTGCATATCAGTCCCATATGGATTTTCGTCAGTTTTGAGATAACAACGCTATCCATTTATAATTTACATATTATGTGATAAAACTACGGACTTTAATAAACCAACATCAAGTCAGTTTGTCCCATCGAGCAAAGTGATCGCATCAGTCCCACCCTGAAATTCAATCGATACAGTTCTGCATTTATAATTTGCCATATTTTTCACTGTTATTACAACACATGCAAGCTCCATTGCAACTGATTGTAACTTGTAAAAATTATCAATAAATATACTACGATTTTTCAAATATTTACATGGGACTTGCACATCGCAACTTCAACTGCCATTTTCTCAATACCTACTTTTTTCCATATGGGTCTGATATGCAATTATAGGCAGTGAATGTGTCAAACAATACCTAACTGGCACGTGACTTAAACACAACACCGTCCAACAGAAAAGACTGAAGCTCACACAACTTTTTCTCATTTCGACGAGACCGACATCACCCAACAAATTCAAACCGTGAACCCTTTTTTTTTAAAGAATAACAACTCACTAATCAAACCCCACCCTTTCCCCTTCGCCAATGCCATTCCAGTAACGTCCCCACCTTCGCCGAACTGCTCAACGACGTGATGAAGGAGTACATCGACGATAGCTTCCAGCAGGGCGAAACGGAGAGCAAAACCGTCGAAAACGAAGTGCTGCTCGAAGAGTCGAAACCTGCCACCACCGAATCCCATCGTGGCGCCGTTGCTGCTGCTCTCAGGGCCGAACGACCGAAGTCCTACAACAGCCGAGGCAACTTCCGCAAACGGGGCCGCTCACACGTAGTTGAGTCGTTCGAAACGGCCGAATCGCAGCACATCAACAGCCACGTGTACAATACCGCTGGGTTTGAATCGCTGAAGAGCATCGACAGAGCTGCCCTGAGGGGAAAGAACATTCTCGACGAGGCAAAGGGTAGCAGTCCGGTTGAAGAGGAAGTCCCAGTGACGACCACGACAACTACTACGACGACGACGGAAGCGCCGGTCACTGACCTTCCGGAAACGACTACCGTTGGTGGACAAGAGACTACCCCGACTTTTGAAACCACGTCAATTTTGCCCACGGAGAGGGAAGCTACCACGGCCATTCCCACGCTGGAGGCTCAATCCGAACAAGATGAAGAGCAGCAGTTTTCGACGGAGCAATTCTACGATGATGAGCCCGAGCAGGTTCAAGGAGAACACGAAGATCACCAGCAAGGAATTTTTGCTGATGTGAAGAAACAGCTTTCCGATCTGTTTGCGATGGCCGAAAACGATCCGGAGACGGAGGAAATTGAAGACGAAGATGAGCATTTTCGACAACTGGAAGTGGGCGGGTACCATGAGGTAGATTTGGTCAGCACGGAGGGTCCCAGCACAACCACGGCCGCCGACATGGCAGCAAGCGAGAACCGACAAGAACCGGCGACGGAAGCGGCTCCCAAAGCCGCCGTTGACGATGCCATGGGCCCAATGGCCATCCCGACGTCCACCTCCAATGGAATTACGCACGAAACCGAAATCTGCTATCGGGGGCGATGCATCAAGACGGATGAGAAGAAGCCCAGACGGAATAAGTTCAAACCAAACTAGTAGTTGGTAGCAGAACGCCTTAGTCTCTACGTTACGAATAGGTCCTTCCGAGACTCTAACTCACTCATCCACCAATCCCTCCCGATCCTCTCTCTCTCTAGTAGTTAGTGTTCTTTTTTGTAAAGAGAAACGTTACGACTTATTTATTTGTAATATAATAAGGGTAGAAATAAAACGAGATAATAAACAGTGAAAAATTACGTTTGACTATTTGATTATTCAAAATCCGAAATAAATTACCTCCAGGATATTTCGGACCATTTAGCTCATATATTAAGAAACAGACTTAAATGGTGGAAGATAAATTTATACCTTAGCCTAACAAGAATAACACTAACCTTAAAAAGCTACTCGTCATCATCATCCTCGTCGTCATCATCATCATCATCGTCGTCGTTCACATCCATATCTTCGTCCTCCTGATCATCCTCGTCCTCATCCTCGCTCATTGCTTCTTCGGACTTTGACTTCTTGGGCTTCTTAGGCAGTGCCTTCCTAGTCTTCTTTGTGAGTTTGATAGACCGCTTCTTAATCTCTTCGAAGCCGTTCTCCTTCGTGCAGCAGCAGTTGACAATGACCTTGAATTTAGCCATTGGATTTCCCAACAGTTTCAGGATTCGTGCCTGCTCCGGCGTCAATACCTTATCCTTTTCGCACACGGTGAAATCTTTGTACAATGTAACAATTCCTCGGTCGAGCTTCGTCGGCATTCCCAGGGAACGAAGATGCGGTTCGATAGCGTGTGAAAATTGCTCCAGTGGACCTAATCAAGAAGTACAATTTTAAAATCCCACCAAAACCACACCGAGGAACATCTTTCAAAGCATACCCTCCTTCAGCAGCACCGTTTTTGTCGCCTTGAATCCACTGCGAGCGAACTCGGTGGCCGAGTACGATTCGAACCAATCCAGCACCGTCTCCTTGCCCTCGGACGTAAACAGCAAGCCACACTGACCGACCATCTGCTCCCGCAGCTTCTCCAGATCCTGTTCCAGCTTCGGATCCTCGTCCGTGTCGTCGCTGACAAACTTCAGTCCCAGCTGCATGACACGATTTTTACCGAAAAAGAAGCGCGAGTTCTTCCAAGCCGACCGCACGTCCTTCAGTTTGGTGTTGCGCATATTCTGAACGGTAAACAGGAAAACATTGTCGTACTTTTGCCGACATTCCTGGATGTCCGTGATGATCTGCTGCTTGTTCGACAAACCCTTCCGATCGGTTTTGGTCAACGAAACTGCCCGTGTGGAAGAGGGAAACGTGTGATCAGTTTAGTCTCAGACCACTTTCAGAATAACAGAATATTGAAACATACCTTTCTGATCTCTTTTGTTTTTCGGCATCGTACTTTAGTTGCAGTGCTGCACGGATATGAAATTAAACGATATTTTTTGCAATTATTACGGCAGTAATTCACGTTTTATTCCAAATAACTCGTTTCGAACCACAAATTTGAAATTGCTGTAAACACATGTACATGCTGCTTGACGTTTGCCGGGTGACAGTAGCCGTCATGCAGCAAGGTGACTCAAAAGTTCTGAAACGAGTTGAGTGTTTTGGGGTTTTCTTTGTGTCGATGCTATAAAAATATCAGGCGTAACATTAGAAAAAGACACTATGATATAAAAGCGTTCACACTTAAAGGTATTAGCAACAATCAATACGAAACTAACGATTTTAAATTGGCTCACCACTTTAGTAGCCTATCCAGCTTTCCATGCTCGGTAATGGCGCCCTGTTTGTATGAATAAATGTATCCTTCATTGTGCTTTTTGACACTATCTGGATGTTCGAATTTCAACCCCTTCCCTTTCCCTCTCCCAGGAACAGAAGAAAATGGAACAACATACGCCCTCCAGTTAGTGTCAAAAAGCACAGTGAAGGATACATTTATTCATACAAACAGGCCGCCATTATCGAGCATGGAAAGCTGGATTGGTCCCAAGCAAACTAGTGTTTGAGTAAAATTAACGAAAAGTAAGTTAAAAGCACAGACAAACAGACATAACACTGGCAATTTGTTCATCGAACACGCATTTAACGGTAAATTTAAATGTTTTTAGTTGGTAATACCGTCACCTGTGGCGCGCATAGTCAATAAACCTTCCGTTTGACGTTTACACACTACCGCCATCTGTTCAGCGTACTACCCATCACAGTATACTCAACAGATGGCGGTAGTGTTTTAGCAACGATGTTTTAAATTGAAAAGTATTCAATGTGTTATGTCTGTTTGTCTGTGTTAAAAGTATTCATCAATGAGAACGAAATTTCATCCAAAAGAGCAGTAATAACGGAGTACTTATTTTGCAGTACTTTCTATCTCGATATTGAGTTGTTCCATCCGATGTCGATTTGGTTCTAACTAGTTTTCAATCCGATAAGTAGGCTTACTCAGATTGTGCTTTTCCGCTGTCATTGCGCTTGGACCTTTAATCACGCAGAGATATATATCGTCGAAACAAACATATTTGAGGTAAATTTAAACGTAAACTCAGTTTTTTTTTTCTGGCCACAAAAATATATTAGATTGATTTCAAACAGGGTTGCATCCACTAAAGCCCTACAGTAAAAGTATGGACGTCTGTCAAAGCTGTTCCAATCGAACCATCAAAATGCACCGCTTTGCTCGATTGGAACAGCTTTTTTCAGTTTTTTGGTGACAGTCGTCCACACGGATAGAAATCTCCTTTTACCTTTTGGTAAATTTCTATTGCTGATTATTCATAAAATGTATAAGTCAACTAATAGGACTTTTTAATACACCACCAACGTAGAGGGCACCACGTTAGTTCGAGGGGAAACGTCACCCAAACCGTTTGTTTACATTAGAAGAATTGAACATCTTGCCAATTTCCATCAGTAATTGTCTCATTTTACGATTTTTCACACATCTGAACTGTCTTCCACCTTAACTATTACCACACAAGAAATCCAGAAGATCATAACCACTAAGGCACTATTGCAATTTTGCATTTTTCTCAACATAAATATTCCTGAACACTAGCTGAATCCTTGCAAAAATGATACAGGATTAAATTTTTCAACTATATATAAAGTTTTCGAGGAAAAGTGAAAAAGTGTTCCGCTTCCAATGTCTCACGGCAAAAATTTCTGCTCACAACACTCCTTTTGACGTTCTTATATTCACCACCAGAGGTTGAATCGATCGCTAAGTTTCTATTAAAAAAAGCGTATAAGCAGACGCCTTGCAAAAAGTTAATGAAGATCATGTGTCAAATGAAATGTATAAGCGGTCACACATACCTTTTATGCATTCTCATAGGACCTATGTGGATTGTCTTATGGAATGTATAAGGCTGATATTTTGGCAAAAATGTATAAGTGAAACACACGAATAAAATAATTTATTTTCGTTTCGTGCATACTTTAACTAGAGGGCTTTAACTTCCACTCACTTGCTATAAAAAAATGTTTTTCCGAATTATGAAAACATTAGTTGTTACAGTGATAATTAGTACTTGTAAGTTACAAGAAGAGGTCGTGAAGTATGTGTTTGACTCATTAAACCTGTCAATTTCGTGGTTCGTGAGCGTTCACTCAGAGTGAGCGCTCACGAATCGTTCAATCGCTGATTGTGACTCACTGAAAGCAATATCGATAGGATTTATGTATCAAACACATTCTTCACGACGCCTCCTTGTAACTTACAAGTTCTAATTATCACTATAACATCTAATGTTTTCATAATTCGGAAAAACATTTTTTTATAGCAAGTGAGTGGAAGTAACACTAAAAAAAATATTGAAATCTAAATAGTATAAAAGTTACGCTAAATCGCAACTCTCCGTACCGACGCAAAAGTCGGTATAAAGGGAGAGAATGCAAACTTAGTATAAAAATGGTTTATGAGTGCCATAGTATAAAATCGAAATATACTTACAATGCCGAGGGGAACGACACTTCAAGATTATCCCATTTTTACCCAAATCTCTCATAAAATTTTCAATGTGCACAAAATTTTAATCCATCACATCTATTCTTTCTATTCCCAACCTATCCCTCGTGCATGCACACAAATTTTGATAATTGATGCAAGCCGTGCAGTTTCTCGCAGTTTTTAGGTCGACGCAAAGCACTCTGCCATAATCACTGTCAGTTTTCAACGATCTCATTAAAATAAACGATGGACCACTCGTTCATAATCGGTCACGGGAACAAAAGCATCAATCGCATCATGGAGGAGATGGCAACGCACATTCACTTTCCGGACTTAAAACGAAAATGAAACAGAACAGGTTCAAATTTTGATTTGAGGAAAAGTAAGCAAAGTACACACAAAGAACAAATATTGTTGTAATAAAAATAATTCACTTTCAAATTGAAAATTCCTCAAACTTCATAGTTTCAACAACGAATATTTTCAAAACGAAAGCTATTTTTTTGGTTTGAAAGTTTTTCGTTCATTTATGACTCGTAATTTTAAAAGTGCATTTTTTTAAAATGAAAATTGGTTTACTGTCAAAAATACCTCTAAACACCAACACTTTTGGCAGCACTGAAATTTTGCCGCTAAATTTTAAGATAAAACATGCAAAACAAAACAGAAGCAGCAGCAGTAGTGTCATATCAATCCACTTCCCAAACATAGATTCTGCCCGTCCCTAAAATTGGCTTCCGGTTTTAGATTTCCGTGAATGGTTTTGAAATGTTGGATCAAATCAAATAGGCCCTACTCGACGATCCAGTAAGTGTTTTTTTTATATTTTTAAACAACCTTTATAAATGCTTACTACTTTCGCTGTTTACAGTATTACCGAGGGGGGCGACACATCTAAATCTCGATTCTAGATGCTCAAAAAATCTCACACTAGCGAATAAATCTTCGAAAAATCTTCTTTCATTTCTCGCATCTATTTGCATCGCGCATCATCTTTTTGCAGGAAATCTTCAAAATCGTGATAAATCTCCTTTCTATCTACTCAGCGTACGCGCAGCTAGCCACAGCAAAATACAATATTTTCTGCATCGTAGATAGAGTCGTCCCCCTCGAGTATTACCTCAAAACGACCCAAAATGAACGTTTCTTGGTTCGCACCATCTGCTGGCCAAACTTGGCCTGGAACCGTTCATATTATCCCAAGATACCACGATCGAGTGCCGCACCGATTGAACTTTAGCAATCAATTACTGCCAAAATAAATGCGAAGCCCGAGGCCTTTGCCGGATTCGTTTCCCAGATTTAACTGTTCCTCGGACTGTACAATGTGCATCATATTTACTGTAGGTGTAATCTATTTTCTCAATGATTTTGAATTATAGACCCTTCAACATGTTCACAGGTTACAAGGATTATCAATCTTCAAGGAAACCTGGGAGCTGGCCTGGAGACTACTGGCAGAGATAAAAGCAATGCTTACAGTGTGCCAAATGCATGATATCTAACGATCCAAAACCGTTGATACATACTGTCTGAGTTCATCAGTTCATCACGAGCCATGATTTGATATCATAATAAAAATAATATATATAAAATTGAATAATAAAAAAACTCTACATGTCATACTGACAATGCTGGTATTTAAAATGAAAATATTTTAATTGTTCAATTCAAAGCGAAAAAGATCGTTTCAATTAGACCACACTTTCATGATAAAAATTTGTTTTGAATTTAAAATAATCCACTTTTTATTCCAACACTGCCATGCTTTTGTTTTGACAGAAGTACAATTCGTTTTGAATGTTTGAACTTTTAAAAGTAGGGAGCGGTTAACTTTTGAATTGATAGTAGGCGAAATTTTATTTTAAATTCTAAAGACTTTCTACCAAAAAGAACCAACGCAAACTTTTAATTCTACCAATGGTTTTTTTAATTTTATGAACGATTATTTTTTGTGTGTAGTTTCTGGTAGCATTAAAACGTCAATTTGTTTACGTTTATCACATACGACTAATTCAAAACGCACTCCAGACTTTATCCTCTTTGCGTTAAGACTCGTATCCAAGGGGGGAGGTGGCTGTCAAGTACGAACAATCGTTGCCTACCTCGCATAACTGGTTCCAAACGTAAACAAGCTATAAGAAACCTACAGGGTTTGTTTACCTTTGGAACCAATTTTATACAAGAATGATCAGTAGGCTGATTTGACAGCACGTCCCACCCCAGCTCGTATCCCTCTGAAAATTTTTTACACCGCTCACATCCATTCCATCCCCTGATCGATTCCATCCCCTGATCCATTCCATCCCCTGATCCATTCCATCCCGAAGGGGGCGACTCTATCTACGATGCAGAAAAAAATGTTTTATGCTGTGGCTAGCTGCGCGCATGCTGAGTAGATAGAAAGAAGATTGATGACGATTCTGAAGATTTCCTGTAAAAAAAATGATGCCCGATGCAAGTAGATGCGACAAATGAAAGAAGATTTTTCGAAGATTTATTCGCTAGTGTGAGATTTGTTGAGCATCTAAACTTGAGATTTAGATGTGTCACC